ATACACATGTCCATAGCAGCACTATTCACAGTAGCCAGAAGGTGAAAACAGCCCAATGTCCTTGTCGTTGCTAGTAAAATAAAAATAAATATAGCTAATATTTATGAGCATTTATTATGGTAAGGTAGAAAGGGAAAAGAAGGGACAATGAGAGGTGGAGACGAGATAGGGAACTTGCAGTGAGGAGGCGTATGTAGTGTATGCAGGGAATGGTAAAGAGGTTATTTTGACTTTATCAAAATAATTTGTTGAATGGAGGAATGAGCTGGGGACTTTGTGAAGGTGTAACTGAAGCTGGTAAAATGCCTTGATTGCTAAACATTGGTCTTTAATTAAATAATACTTTCATTATAAGGTATTCCTTGTCTCACAATTTATTAGTTTTAAGTCAAGTAGAAAAATTTACTGCTGTATCGTTATGTCCCTAAATTGTACCAAAAGCAGAATCTTAGTTAAGATACCTTGATAATTCAATTTATAATAGTTACAATTTTTCATACAAACAAATTACACAGTTGTTTACTGAGCAAAGTCTTATCAGCTCTTAAGTTGTTGTATCAATGAGATGCTCATCAGGAAACTGGTTGGTGTGCATCTTGTAGTACGGGATAATTTATAAAAATTGTATTTTGGTGAAGGGATGGATGAATAGGCAGAGCACAGAGGATTTTTAGGACAGTGTGGGCTACATGTTGTTAAACATTTGTCCAAACCCATAGAATGTACAACGAAAAGAGCAAACCCTAATGAAAACTATGGACTCTTGAGTGATCATGATTTGTCAGTGAAAGTTCTCAACTGTAGCACAGGCACCACGCTGGAGGGGGATACTGATAATGGTGGAGGCTGTGCATGTGTGGGGGCAGAGGACATATGAGAAAATCTTTTCCTTCCTCCTGCTTATGCTATGAACTTAAGACTGTTCTAAAAAGTAGTCTTTAAAAAAATATTTATTTAGCCATTTTGGTCACACATTTGGGAAAAGCACTATGGAATGTGAACTGGCTATTGAATAGGATGGAAGCTAATTATAGCCTTCTTCTTGGGTCTTATTTCCCTACAGACATCTTATTTAAGAGATACAGAATAAAGAAAGCAAAAGGAATGATTTATGACATTTTACAACCTAGATCTCACTGAACTCTATTCTGTTTTACTGTAGATTTCCTTAGCATTGTTGTTTTAAAACAAGATCTTAATAATCATTCAGATGTTTCTTTTGTGTATTTGGTTTCTAATTTCATTATTTCAGAAAATGAATATGCCTGATTTAGCAAGGGAGTTTTCTTTCTTTTTATAAATAATCTTAATATGCAAGCATCAAAGAGAAAAGACAACATGACAAACTAAGTTACTAAGGAGTGAATACTTCTAAAATGATTTGCCTTTAGTCGGAAACCCTATTGCTAAAATAAATCATTTAGAAACTGTTTTAATACTTCAATTCTGTATCCTGATGGAAATAGAAACTATGTATCTTGCATTGTGCCCAGCAAATCAGCATTTTCAAAACCTTAGGTTACTTCTAAATGCATTTTTTTTAAATGAAGGACATACTGATATTTACAGTATTTCATTTATATTATGAGTGATCTATAATGTAGAATTTTTTCAGAAGGTAGTCTTCTCTGGGGTTATAATTTTCCTGCAGTTATTTCTCACAAAATCCCTCTGAATTTTATGGCTGTTTTGCATAAGAAGTCCCTAAGATGTTTGGCACTCAGCCTGGAGTTTGAGCATGAATATTATCTTTTTCTTGATTCTTATTGCCTCTTGATTTTAATAAGTCGCTGGCTGTTCCTACAGGGCCAAATAATCACTTGCATTGTTCTGTCCAAGAATGTTACTAGATTGGGTGTATTTACATAAGTCTGTGAGAAATAATATTCAGTTTTTGTTTTAAAGACCTGTTATAAACAACAACAATAAAAGTCTTCCTTTCATGATAGTTCAGCCATCTCATTGGTTCATATTCTAAGGGTACCTCAGGCTAACTGTGACTAAATGCTCTAAGGAAAGTACTGATTGCCAGCCTGGTACCATGAAACTCTTCTCTGGGTTTTTGTTAATGAACAATGCAACACAAATGATGGGGAGTTGGATAAAAGTCACAGAATTTTTGAGATGAAGATTTTATCTAGCCTAGTGCCTTTCTTTTTTCTGATGTGGAAACTGAGAGCAAGGGTAGTTGAGTAATTTGCTCAGGTTCATACTCTTCATCGCTTCTGACTTCAAGAACGTTATTCCTTTAACTTAGTGCCTCCTTTTAGAACCTCACTTTCAGAACTGTTACATGCTTTTTGGTTGAAGTTGTCACTTTCTACAGCAGCCAGATAGGCAGTCATTGGTTAGAGCTTAGTTTCTTTGTCAGAGCGACTCCAATCAGCAGAACCTTAATTCTTGCCTTTGTATCTTTGTGCTTTAGTGCTCAGGGGATGGGGGCACTAAATGGAACATTGCAGTGCAAGAGCCTGTTTCACTGCAGTTTTCTAATGAAGGATAATTTCAAAACTTGATAGGTAGGATTTTACTTTAAGTAATTTAGGTATTTTTTAAATAGAGTTTATCTGTTTGTTTTTATTTTTTGTTTGTTTTGAGACAGGTCTTGATCTGTTGGCCAGACTGGAGTGCAGTGGTACAGTCTGGCTTCACTGCAACCTCTTGGGCTCAAGCCATCCTCTCACCTCAGCCTCCTGAGCACCTGGGGCTAGAGGTACACGTTACCATATCTGGCTAATTTTTAAAAACTATTTGTAGAGATGGGGTCTCACTGTGTTGCCAAGTCTGGTCTCAAACTCCTGGGTTCGAGCAATACTCCCTACCTGGCCATCCAGAGTGCTGGGATTACAGGCATGAACCACCAAGCCTGGCATAGCGTTATTTTTAATTGATAATAGATACACTTGTAATTATTATGAACCAGTCTCTTAGTTTTATGTGTATGTGTATATACACACACACACACACACAAACACATACACTGTCTCATTTAATTTTAACATAATGAAAAACTATTCTTAAATGAGATGTGAAACTGATACTGTACCTAGAACTTTTTTTTTCAAGCCAAGGTAATAGCTGAACTTAACAGCACTTTTTCTGAGCATCTCATCAGAATATTATTTTACAATATCAGGTATTATTTAATAACATTGCTTCTCCCTTCACCCCTTCATTAGTCCCCTGCTACCTCCATTGTGAGGGGCCATCCTTTAGCCAGAACTAATTCCTACAACTCCTTTATCTGGAAAATGTATCTTGCCATTACTTGAGGTGAGTAAAATGAGTGTATCATCACCTGCCCTGGCAGGCCTAAAAGCAAACTTAGGTATTGTATTCATGGCAGTTGAAGGGAAGTTTTTTTATTTTAATTTTTAAAAGTAGCCATTTGATTCTTTGATGTGAAAATCAACCTGTCAATGAATTCAGCACAGTCCGATGTGTTATTAGGTAGACTGTAATTTAAAGCTGTTACTAGATGTTACACAGACAGGAACTACATGGTAAATGAGTTTCATTTTATTTGTAGAAATCTGGGCACCAAATGATCCAACACTGGTTGGAATGTTTTATTAACCCTATTTGCATTTTGATTGCTGCTATATGAAACTTAAGGTCTCATTATTATTTCTGATAATATATTTTTAGGCCAACCTATCTAAAAAGAACCTTCATATGAAAAGGTGTTTTCACTAATTGTATCCATCTAACACACAATATGTTATGTTTTGTAACTTAATATAAGGGAACAATTTTTAAAGTTTTCTTTATGCCCTAACTGGACCTCTCTATTAGAAAATTCTAATCCATTGGGTAATTTTAGCATTACTCACTTAGAAAATGTTTTGTTTTGATATTACCAAAGGGTTTTGGGAGAAAGCATGTGGCCAAGAATGTCTACATTTACTATTACAGAAACAAAAGATGTTATTTGTGACTTGCTTACTTATTTTCCATAAGTAAAATTGGGCATCACTAATGCTGGAAGACCTACAGAAATAGTGTGCTTGACAAAAGGATCTCTTGTTCTTTTGTCTGCTGCTGATTAGCAGTTGAAATACAGTCATCGTTGGAAAATTGACCAGTGCTGCCATTACAGAACCACACATCCTTTGCTCTTGGTGCCCTTCTTACGTCCTAGTTTTGGTTTTGTTTTGTTTTTTTTTCTTTTTTCCCTCTTTTTTTTTCTTTTTTCCCTCTTTTTTTTTTCTTTTTCCCCTCTTTTTTTCTGCCCTCTTACCTACCTCATTCACTTATGTTTGTAAAATGGTCCTAAAGATTTGAAATTTTAGGAAAAGTTTTCATCATTATGGTATACGATATTCAGAAATATGCATTGTATGGCAAATAGCAATCTGGATTTGGTAGGATTGGTGGTAGGTAGGTCTGCCATTACCTTCTTGTTTTACTTCATTCTCCTCCCACCCGCCTTTCTCCTTATCTTCAGGATCATCATGATGGTCATTATGATCATCATGATGGTCATTATCATCATGTGAATCTTTGGGAAACTTCTTAGGTACTGAAGTGAAATTCACCTTTAAAAAATGTGTTCCGTATACTTTTCTTCCTTTTTTGTGTGTGTGTGATTATTTTTTCTTATTTGAAATTGCCTCACAACTATAGTCCTATCTGAAATAGTCTGTGTTAAATAGGTTCCTTATAGCTTGTGTTCTTTTTTGCATGTGTTAATTAATACTTGGTTTTCTGTGAATTTCCTTTGCATTTCTTGTTTTCATCTATATGAATTCTATATGAATTGCTATATGCATTTCTATTTCTTTCCCCAAAATCAAGACATTTGTTGAGGGGTCAGTAAAGTAAAATGCTATAGAGTTTGTGTGTATTTGGTTATTTGTTATCTTTAATGTGAGGAAGTTTGTATTTTATTTAGTTGGAAGACATGATGGATAAGCTGTGGATAAGTACCTAAATACATAAATGTGTATACATATTGGATAGTTTACTGTTGCTGAAGGCTTGTTTCTTAATCCCTCCAGGAAAGAAAGGAGAGGCTATCCAAATTTGAATCTATTCGTCATTCAATTGCTGGAATAATTAGGTCTCCAAAATCCGCACTGAGCTCTTCAGCAGTAAGTAGGATTAACTCTCTGTGCTACTGAAAATGGTCATTGTCTAACTTCTTTCTGATGCATTAATGAATGTGTGTGTGTGTGTGTGTGTGTATAAATTTGCACTTACAAATGGAAAGATAAGTGCGTAATTTAACTTTTTGTGTGCATATGAATGTCTATATATGTGTATAGTAAAATCCCATGTAACACTGACATAGGGAATACAGAAATAAACTTGAATTATAGGCTTCCTTTACAATATACAAATAATTATGAGGAACATTTTATGTACTTTGAGGTCTTACTGGAGGAATAGTATAAACAATTCTTTCCTAGTGAAACATAACCCTTTTACAGTAGGGATTACTATATATATTTTAAAAATGTATTAGTGTATATGTATATTTATATTTTAAAGAGCATTTTGATTATAAAATTGAAGTCTGTTTGATAATCATTGAAATGTGGGTTTGACATATCACAGTAGTACTTGAGTATTAGTTATCTTTAGTAACAGCGGTTTGGCCATCTCATACACATGAATAAACACACAGAAGCATTTCTCTAAAGCATTAGGTCTTCTATTTATTTGGAGAAGGAGGTTTTTTTCCCCCTCAAATACACAGGCACTCCAGTGTATACACCCCTAACAAGTACTAGTCTAATTCTGGTCCTGATGGATTTACCTACACTGGATATTTCACATACATGAATAAAATCATACAATATGTGGCCTTTTGCATGTAGTTTCTTTCATTTATAATTCTTCTACGGTTCATCCATGTTATACAATGTGACAGTACTTCATTCCTTTTTATGACTGAATAATACTCCATTGTATATATTTACCACATATTGTCTATCCATCAGCTGATGGACATTTGGTTGTTTCAGCTTGTTGGCTATTATAAATAATGCTGCATGAACATTCATTGTCAAGTGTTTTTATTTTTGTATGTTTTCACTTCTCTTGGGTGTGTACCCAGGAGTAGAATTTCTGGGTTATATGGTAATAATTCTCTATTTAAGCTTTTGAGGAATTGCCACACTGTTTTTCATAGTAATTGTACCATTTTACATTCCCATCAGCAATATATGAATATTTTTATTTCTCCACATTATTGCCAACACTTGTTATTTTTAATGTTTTCATATTATAGGCATTCTAGTGGGCATGAAGTAGTACCTTACTGTAGTTTTAATTTCCATTTACCTAATGACTAATGATGTGGAGCATTTTTTCATGTTCTTATTGGCAGCTTATATGTGTTCTTTGGACATGTGTTTAGTAATATTCTTTGCACATTTAAAAATTGCTTATTTATTGTTGAATTCTAAGAGTTTATATTCTGAAAATAAGCTCCTTATACATATAATCTACAAATATTTTTTTCTTACCGTTTGGATTTTTTTTTTTCACTTTCTTGATGATGTCGTTTAACACACTTAAGTTTTTGATTTTGCTGAAGAGCAATTTATTTTTTCCTTGACTCTGTGTGCTTTTGATGTCAAAAAAAACATTGTCTAATCCAAGATTATGCTGATAATTCAACCTTGTTTTCTTCTTAGAGTTTTATAGTTTTAGTCCTACCACTTACATCTTTGATTATTATTAGTTAATTTTTGTATATGGAGTGAGGTACAGGATCAAAATTTTATTTATTTATTTTAATTAATTAATTTATTTTTGAGATGAGGTTTCACTGTATTACCCAGGCTGATGTTGAATTCCTGAGCTCAAGTGATCCTCCCTCCTCGGCCTCCCTAAGAGTTCAAATTCAGTCTTTTGCATATGGAAGCATATTTAACTTAAAATCATTAAAATGCAACAACTATGAATCACTGTTTATGCAAGTAAACATACAAAAATTGGAATGTTAAAGCATAATTTTAGATAAAATAAAGCAAATGCATTATATATAGGAAAATGAAATTAGAATTAATCACAATGGACTTGACATAACGATTTTTCTGTTTTTAACAGTATTAAAATGTAGAGCTCCCTTTAAAGACAGTCTAATGTAATGCTTAGATCAACAGTCTTAAGAGAAGAAAGAACTTAAGACTTTAGCTGATAGCAGAATTTTTTTCATCTGAATATTGTATTTGATGTCATCAGATGTTTAATATTGTTATAATAATAGAATATTGTAACATAATATATAATATATATCAGAATATATACTTATTATATATAATATATAATAGAATATATAATATATATTTTATATAATATCAGAATAATACTTTAATATGTTATATCAGCTACAAGCATGTGTTTCCTTTGCAGTGTACTGAAGGTGTTAAAAGCCCTTTTATTAGTATCTCAGATTACTGAGGCTACAGTCACATCTAGCATCTACCCATCTTAAGGAGGTTGTAATTTTGCATTGAGAACTATTTTTCAGTTCTGAAGCCTCTGAAGCCAAGGCCAGAGATGTTAGACAGTACTAATTACATATTTTAAAAGCCTACTGGCAATCATGAGGGTCCATTCCAATTGAAAGTCTTTCAAACCATATTATATTTAATGAGATCTGTTCCAGTCATGTCAAGAATATTGCCCTTTCTCTAGGGCCATCCATCTACTGCAGAATTTCTATAATGAGTGGCCGAGCAAATCGCTTGTTCCATCTTACAGACACTCATGAATACTAGTTGTATCACTGATATATGGAGTGAATAATGCCCCTGTGATGGTAGCACTCTTTGAAAAATATTCTTTGAAACAAAAATAAAGCACATTTTGGTCAAAATGATTTGTTCTTTATATAGATATCAGAAGAATTATTAAATTATTCAACAGCAGTCTCTTTAAAATTCATATTTTCTACAATCTGTTGACATATATGCTATTTTAATTTTAGAATTACTTTGTACTAGAATTTAGAAAATCAAAATATTGGAAAGTAGAAATGTGCTTCCTTTGTATAGAGTAATATTGTAAGTAAGATTTGCTTGCTTGCTTGCTTTTTAGAAACATCATTCAGTTATGTTAAGTTGTACATCAGTTGTAATACAGGGTCACAGTGCTTGGCTTCCGCCAGTGGCACAGGGGAATTTAGCTCTTTTCATGCGTGACATCAACTGCTTCTATTTTTCGGTGTTTTCCTTTCAGTCTAGAAAATCGGCCTTATATTTTCTTTAATCAAGACATGTTGTTAAGTTCAGGTTAAATAGTGTACATTTTAAATATCAGTTGTCTTCGATTATTCTTAAAGTCTTAAGTTGCTTTTCCCCCCATTTATTATTATGTAAAAGAGTCATTAACAAGGGAAAATAAAGATTTTTTGCATTATATCACTCTCATACAGTGAATTCTGTCATGTTTAGGAAAATTAAATATTCTATTAATTTCAAGTTTTGAATTACTTGAATTACAAGTATTACATGTAATTTTTCTAAAAGGACTTATTGAGATTGATATTCTGTAATTTGTACTGTAATGGAGCAAATCTATTGTTTATATGTTCGCTCAGATGCTTAAAACAGGTAACAGAGATCATGTCAGATTGATACTAAGTTTACACAGGCAATCCCAACTTGATGGTAAATGTTTACATTTACTGAAATATGGTTGCCTATTGACATATTGCAATGATCTGGTAGTAGTTTTTGTTGCAATGTGTGATAAGATATTAGCATTGAATATAGTTAATTGATGAAAATGTGTTCTTATTGATATTGTGGCACATTTTATATGTAAAATATATGGGTTTAAGGAAAGAATATTTGATACTGAATAAATGAAACTATAGCAAAAATGTGGTAAAATGATGAGAGAGGATGAGTGAGAGTCACTGGCACAATCGTAAAAGTAACTGCGTAAAAATAATAAAGAGAGAAAAGCATGTTATTACCAATAAACAATGAGTAAGGGAACAGAAGAAGCCAGCAAAAAAGAAGTTGGAGGAAACCCAAAGGTACTGAAACAAGCAGAACTGTTAGAAAGAAAGGAAGGTAAAATAAAATTTATATTTTGCTAAACATAGTGTCCCTTATCAGAGAACCAAGAAGAGGTACAAAAAGACAGGCCAGGAAATGGGAAGCTGTGGAAGTAACCTGATACTTGAGTTTGGCTTAGTTGTCTATTTTTGTTTAATACAAGTTTTAGAAAGAATTCTGTACTAATGCTCATCTCTGATTAGCATGTAATTCTGTATAGTTACTATGCTAGAGAACAGTTTTATTGTTTGAACCAAACAAATTTATTTATTGAACCAAACAAATTCAAATTCTCAAATACTGTAGTACAAAAAATTGTTAAGAAATTTGTGAATAAAAATTTTACAGCTAGTTTCATTATAGAATGTAAATATTAGCTGAAGTATCTTTTTTTGGTTGATAATATCCATGAAAAAACTGCCAATTCAGCTTTACTGCTAAACAATTAGAATTTGTAGAATTAAAGATAGTCATTTAGTGCCAAAGATAGAACCACTGTTTTAACTAATTTACATCCTGTTTGTCTAGCCTGAACACAAATGATCCTGAGGTACAAATATTCAGAATATCTTATTTTTCATTATTTAAAAATTAATTCAATAGATTCAAATGTAACTATTTAGAAATTTTTTAAAAACTGGAAGGGAGAACATTGTTTTTTGTTTTCATTTTATATTAAACATTTAGTATATCTGTACAAATAAAAAATTATATCCAACTATCCAACTAGAAATGACATAAAATACACTTTCCCACCTATGATTACATTTCCCTTTCACTGAAGATAATTTTTACTACCACCAGGCTCATTCAGTAGACTAGTGTTTCCCATCTTTTGTAAACAGTTGATTTCTCATCCCCTCCTAAAATTCCTAAGTAATATATAGCTTTAAAAGAAAAGGGGTCCTATGAAATTAAAAAAAAAAATAAATTTATAGGGCCAGGCGTGGTGGCTCACACCTGTAATCCCAGCACTTTGGGAGGCCGAGGTGGGTGGATCATGAGGTCAGGAGTTTGAAACCAGCCTGGCCGACATGGTAAAACCCCGTCTCCACTAAAAGTACAAAAAATTAACCAGGTGGGGTGATGCACACCTGTAATCCCAGCTACTCGGGAGGCTGAGGCAGGAGAATCACTTGAACCCAGGAGGCAGAGGTTGCAGTGAGCGGAGATCAGGCCATTGAACTCCCGCCTGGGTGACAGAGCAAGACTCCATCTCAAATAAATAAATAAATAAATAAATAAATAAATAAATAAATAAATAAAATTTATAGAGATAGGGTCTCACTATGTTGTCCCGGCTGGTCTTGAAATCCTGACTTAAGCAGTCCTCCCACCTTGGTCTCCCAAAGTGCTATTACAGGCTTGAGCCACTGTGCCTGGCCAAATCTTAATCTAGTGCCTTAGATCATTTGGCCGTGCTACCGGCTGAGTCTTACAGAATTTTTGAGAAATATTTAAAATCTTGTAAATTACTCATAGTCACCCCAGTATATTACTAAACTGGATTTGGAATAACTTATTAATTAGACTATTAAATTAATGTTAATAACTAAATTTACATGAGAATAGAAAAGATAATTAAATGTCATTTTTATGTTAAAAATTCAGAATTTAAAAAAGTTTGTGTTGAAGTTTTATTTAGATTGTTCAAGCTAAGTAAGGGTTTTGCTTGCATATTTTTGATGCTGTTTTATTCTTGTGTTGCTTTTTTCAAAATGGTTTATTGGGTAATTAATTTTAATAGAATCTAGACCACACTATTTTCAAAAAACACTTTTGTTTTTGCCTCCCAAAAAGAAGCTCATCTTGATACTCAAATGCTTGAGTGAAGGTATACAAATCTTCATTACATACTTGAGAATTAGCCTGGACTAGGGTAAGGAGAAAAACTAATCTCTTTTTCTTTCCCCAAGAAAAAAAAATTTTCAAGTGCTGCTTCCTTATTGCCTTTTCATATAAAATAACCTCTTTAATTTCACTAATTCTGGTATATTTTTGCTGGACTATTCTTTAGTAACAAGATCTAGGGAAAATAACTAATTAAACAGCTAGCCCAATCAATCAGGAAAACTTATTAACTTATTAACTGTACTGTATTAATTGTAACTTAAAAAGGAGGCTTTGCTCCTACCCCCATATCTTTGGCAAAAATCTCAGATAATTTACTAATGAAGAAAAACCCTGTCTGTTGAGGCTGATAAAGATGGGATATTTGAGGTAAAAAGCTTGGTTTCATTTGTGATGTCATTATGCTGGGCTCTTGGTATGTTGCTTTTTTTTTTTTTTTTTTTTTTTTTTTTTTGCTGGTGCATCCTACATATATTACTGTCAAGTTTGTAAAATTGTGTTGGGATTTCATTCAAATCATATTGATAAGAATATTCCTTCCAGTGCTTCCAGAGAAGTCTTTGAAAGACCTGATATACCCAGGCAGGGGATATGTGTGACTTTTCCCTGTGTATGTGTGTACACATGTGTATATACACACATACACTCACAGTAAGTTCAGCTTATATTTCATAACAATGTTGTATAGGGGATGGGGAATAACAGATCTTTGAGCTTCCCTCCCTACCCCCAAAGAAACTAAGAAACCTATAGAATTGAAGTATGATCTTTATGAGATAGCAATATAAGTTCCTTACTATTTAGTTTTTTAAAAACGAAACAAAACTCAGATACTTTCCCCAGATGACTTTTTCCCCCATACATGTTCTTCATCATATACTTAAATGAATTTCTGGGAATGCTGGCTGAGCTTTTGTACTTCATATACCTTTCCACCTTAGTTCATCAAACTGTGTTCTCTCAGTTGGAAATAAATGCAAATTTGGAAGGATAGGTTGGCTAGGACAAGAAATCAACATGTAGCATCCTCGTTTGGGATGCTTTCCTGTTATGTAGACCTTTTAGAGAGACAATGATAAAAATAAGTCCTTTGCAAAGATGTTACATTGAACTTCTTGTATTCAGTAATAACTTTTGAATAAATAAGCACTTTTGCTATTAGTGAGACAGAAATATGTCCATTATAGTAAAAATTTTAGTATTTACTCTAATTAGATGCACTATGATAAAATTTTAAAATAAAATTTTTGATTATACAAATAGAAAACGTTTGATTATTTTTTACTTCTTTAATAATTACAAATTATTAGTATCGGTATATACAAAAAGTTAATTTTGTGTAGATTATGTTTGTTTTTAAAAGTAGTATTCTTTTACCTCATATAGTCATGGGTGGTTCTTTAGATAAAATTGTTCTTTAAAACAATTTTTGGGAATACGTTAAAACGTTTTTTGAAATAAAATATTTTTCTTATATGTTAAATATGATATAATATTGTTTATCATAGTTTGTGTGAAAATTAAAAAGACTTAGTTTACCAAAACTTCCATGTATAGTCACAACCTGAATATATTTTAAAAGTTTAAAATGTTATTTAATATGAGTGGAAGAAGTAAGAATCAGAATGTAGACTCTTCCTTGAGATCTATTTTGGACTTTTCAAGTTTTTTATTGTTGTTTTGTTTTGTTCTTTTAACCAACAGAATGGGTTTTGGATAATATGAAATAGAATTTTGAGCAGTAAGTTTTGGGTCTCTTCAGTGGTACAAAACAATGAAGTCTTTGTTAAAAACCAGTTTTTACTTACTACAGAATTACCATACTTTGGTCCTACCTAGAATTTATATCAGCCTGTAAAACTTCATATATGAATATGAATATTTGCCTTTCATTTATTATTAATTCTGATGTTTCCAATTTATAAATTACCTTCTCATGAGGCATTGTGCATACTGTATTTTGAGAACCTTAAAAGTTAGTTCAAATTACTACACCTTATCCACAAAGTACTCTTTCTATCTGGAGGAGTTTAGTTCCTGTGTGCCATAAAAACAATAACATCAGCAACATTTTTACTTGTAATCAGAAAATGTGTGATTTAATCTACTATCAGTTAGCACATTTCAAGGAAATAACAGTCATCTCTTAAATTATTTCTGACTTGGTGTTAGCATTTGGCCTCTTAAAATAACAGAGAATTTGCTTTCTCTACCATGCTCATGGTTTATAAACATTCCTTATCTTTGCCGTGTGTTTGTAATTGCATATTGGTGGTTTTCAGTGATGCTATTTCTCCTAGGGCTTTATCTACCATTGCTTTGTAGAAGCAGCACCAGCCATGTGGCAGAGGTAATGGTTAAGTCAGGTGAGTGAAGATAAGGACAGGAAGGCACAGCAGCAAGGCAGCATCAAATAAAACCTGAGATAGTGCTCCTGGAACATATGAGACTGCTCAGAACCTCTGTGATCAAGAGTTAATTACATAAAAAAGAAATACCTTAGCTTTTCATTTACATAAAAATTAAGTTGTTTTGTGATACATTTCTGTTAATTCCCTCTTTTTCTTCATAATTTCTCTGGTTGATAATTTTAGTATATAGATTTATTTTAGGACGTGGTGAATAAGATTATCAATGCTAACTCTAAATGCTAATATTGTGTCTACCTTTGTATGACAGATAAAGTGTTGAAGTGTATGTATTTGTGGTAAACTTCAGCACCAGTACTTCAAAAGATATTTTAGGTTCATCATATAACTTTTAATTGGTCAATTAAAGGGAGGAACATTTGTAAGAAGCCTTTATAGTTGCTATGAATTTTATTAGAAAATAATCAGTATTTTCTCTAATTTAGTTTTTTTTTTTTTTAATATTTGTTTAAGCTTTCTGATATGATCTCCATCAGTGAGAAGCCTTTGGCAGAACAGGACTGGTACCATGGTGCAATTCCCAGAATAGAAGCTCAAGAACTGTTAAAAAAACAAGGAGACTTTTTGGTGCGAGAGAGTCATGGGAAACCTGGTGAATATGTCCTTTCTGTATATTCTGATGGACAGAGGAGACATTTTATCATACAATATGTTGATGTACGTTTCCAGTTTAGTTCATATGTATATTTTGATGTAGTTCATTGTGGTACAATTGTATTAAAATAATGAATGGTTTGTGACAAATGCCTGCAACACTTGAAATTTAGCACTTAATTTTTTTCTGAATTTCTTAAATACAGTGCTTCAAAATTTGCTAACATTTAAGTATGTTTAAGGAAAGATGTATTTAGTAATATTTTAAATTAAAAATAGTGTTTACAAAATCAAAGTCTATAGCTATTTAAAATATGTTGTTAAATTTGAACATTAAAGATATTTCGAATTAAAACTAAAAACAATGTGATTATTATAAGTTTTTTTTCTAGAGAAACTTAAGTTTATGAAACTTATACTTTTGAAATTGGAGCTTGGAATTGTTTTCAGAATGGTGCCGTGAAAGATTTTTAAGAAATACTTTATTGAATAATGATAGTGAAATTTCTTAATGAATGGGATGATGGTTGAATTGGTTTTTTGATACATTAAAGATTAAGGTTTTTCTTTTTATAGATAAGCCGTTGTTTATTGGCATTAATAATGAATAGAAATTAATGAAGAATTAAAAATAATTTGTTTACATTGATTATTCTAATGCTAATTTATTTTTTGAAATTTTTTTAAGCATTGCTAAACTACTTTCTATGTTTGTTACATTTCTTTATTGAGCCTTAAACAGATGAAGAGTAATTTCAAAATTTAACTTTACCCACTAAGGAATTTTAATGTTTTTGGCATATGAAGGAATTGATGCCTCTATTTGTTTTCCATTCCCATCATTTCAGATGGCCTGCATTTTCAAGATTGCTATCCACAGGATTTCAGTTTATGTCTAGAGACTAGGGTGATACTAATTGCCTTACACAAATTGAACCATGATCATTAGATGAACCTGAGGGCTTGGATAGCTTAGTAACAGGTGTATGTACACACACGTATGCACATATACCTCTTAATAAGTTTATATATATATGAAACATACCTTTTTGAGCTGACATTCACATATAATACAATTAATCATTTTAAAGTGTAGGATTCAGTAGCATTTAGTACATTTACATCTAGTAGTTATAGCTAAATGAAGTAGATACCATTCTAGTAGGTTAAAAGGAATACATCCATTAAAGTATTTCCACTATCATAATGTTCACACTATTTGTTAATTTTTCATAGTATTCAGACCTCAATTTGATAATCATATTTTCCCACATTCATACATCTAACTTACTGTTTTGGAAACTCTGTTGTTTCTAATGATGTGTAATTTTTTATTTCCTTGGCAAACTCTTTTGTAATTTATATATGCCTTTAAGTTATGAATTTAGATAACCTACCCTATTACAATTTGTGACCATGTTGGCAATATTTATTACATGGTGTGAGAATTGTAGAAGGAAAGATTGTAGGTAAAGTATAAACTCGTTAACCACAACTTATATGAATGTTTCATTTTATTTTCTAAGCTCTGAAAGTAACTATTTTTGAAATATGTATTATGTAATACTGAAATATTTATCTTATCACTTCTAGTTTAAATTGTAACTATAGGTATTTAAATTAGCATTCTTAGAAACAAAAAGGAAAGGGTCAGTGTGCAAATTATTGCTTGTTTTTAATATTGCCATTTTGTTTTAAGTGGCTAAAATGAACAATATAATATATGCTAAAAATAAGAGGTTACAAGTTCACATTTCATAGTTTTATCCGGTTTCCTTCTGTCACTGAGATTTTTCAAATATCTCTGTTAAAAATGAGAACATTTATTTTTCACTAAACGCCTCAGATTTTCTGCTGCCTAATTTTATTCTAGTGAGTTTTTGCTGTATAATGTTGAGCTCCTCAAGCAATTGCAAACAGTATAAGATGATATAGAGTTTTAATTCTTTTTCATTTTGTGCAGCTGATTCTTCCATGAGCTAAAATTATCCTGTTCATTTCCTCCTATACCTGTTAACTAGAAGGGGTCAATAAATGGGGAAATTCATTAACAGATATTTAATGAGTGCCTACTGTATTCTAATGAAGGAGTTTATATTATAGAAGCTGTAAATAAATGAGCCAACAAGTGTTCCAAGAGAGGAGGTTATGAAGTAATACAAGATTTTAGAGGAGTTAAAAATATTAAATAGTAGATCAATAAAAAGAGCACTATATTTGGAGTTAGAACACTTGGCTTTCAGTCCTAGCTCTGTCTTTACTTGTTCTGTGGTTTAGGAAATAAAGGGGGTTAATATCTTAAAGAGTTTTTGCGAGAATCAAGTAAGTGAATACATACTTTGCAGGATGTGAAATTAAATAAACCAATAAGGCAGCATAGAAATGAATACTGGAAAGCTCATGCACTCATGCATTTTGCATTCAAGACATTGAATACAACATTTAATACAAAGAATAGACATTTCTCCAAAAAGTTGTGTAAATGGCCAATAGGTATTATGAAAAAATGCTCAGTATCACTGATCATCAGAGAGTACAAATCAAAACCACAATAAAACATCATTTTATCCCAGTAGAATGGCTATTATTAAAAACACAAAAAATAATAAATGCAGGCAAGGATGTGGAGAAAAGGGAACTCTCATACACTGTTGATGGGAATGTAAATTAGTAAATTCATTATGGAAATCAATATGGAGATTTCTCAAAAAAGTATAATAGAACTGCCATATGATCCAGTGATCCCACTACTGAGTATTTATTCAAAGGAAAATAAATCAGTATACCAAAGGGATACCTGTACTCCCATGCTTATTGCAGTACTATTCACAGTAGCAAAAATAAGGAATCAATCTAAGTGTCCATTAACATTTATTATTTGTCTGGTGATTTGATAATTGAATGTGTGCCAGTACATGTACCATATACTGGTAAAGTGGTTTGCATGTTAATAGTTATTCAACTCTTTTACTCTGTGAGGAGGTACAAATATTATCTCTGTTTCACTAAGGAATAAGCTGAGACACTGAGAGATCTTGATTGGTGTTTTGCACACCTAGAACATATATTATTATAAATAGATTAGTACCTTCAGTGTGAAATATTCTCAAGCATCAGTGCTAATATATCATAGAAGGTATGCCTACTATGTACAAAAGTTCTTTAGGCAATGAATTAACAACTGCTTTGAACTGACTCAAACACTAACTGCCTTGAGTTGGTTTATACTCCATAGTTAAGTGCTAAAGTAAACTAATGCAAGTTTGTTCATTACTCGATGAAACAGAAATATTCATTTAAGAAGTTTTATATAAATTAAATTTTGATACATTAAATCTTTTTTATTTTCTAGTATGGAAAAAGAGCTTTGAGTTTTTAAACTTTCAACTGGGAGAGTAATCTTCCAGTAATGCGAGTAATATAGAATTTAGTCGGTTTTGAAAGTTCTTATTTCTTCACAGGATTTTCTTAAAATGGGGGTACTCCAAAATCTGTATTGGTATATATCTCCTGGATGTGAGAACTATCAGTTGGAAGCGTTTGTTACATTGCATTGCAATGCTTCTTGCATTGAAAAATATGGCCAATAGGGTATTTTTGATTTGCCAGGTTTATTGCTATCAATTTATCCATATGACAACCTACTCATAGGCCAATTTGAAATATGAAAACAAGAGAAAAAGGGTCTTGGAGGAGTTTGGGGAAAATTGCACCTTACCTAGTGATATGCAATTTTAAAATGCTAAGATTTGAGCATGTTGATATCTGCAGTTTTGTCACTGGTGCATTTTATTTCTTTATCAAAGATGCATGAATGAGTGTTTTTGGTAATGAATAATAAATGAATACTCCACTATAAAAAGCAAACTAATACTGTATCAACAGATAGAAAATAAATGGTCAGATGTATTAAAATATTTACCATCAGACTGGATATCCTTCCTTATATTTTTGATATTATTTTTGATATTGAAAGTTTTATCAAATGGGACACATATGTAGACATATGTAAACGTGTATCTTGTCCGTTAACTCGGGTGTATCCCATGCTTTATTTCCTTTGGTTAGCATTTTAGCAAAATGCATTTCAGGTCTGTTTGTTAGATTTTTTATTTTTTCAACAATTTGAATTAGATTTAAACATTGTGAAGATTAATTTATCTCTCACAAGGTAGAATTTTAAAACATGTCAGAGCTTTCTTTATTTATTTATATTTTTATCATCTTAATAACTTTTAAGGGTATAGTTTAGTAGTGTTAAGTATATTCACATGGTTGTGCAATTATAGTTTTTTAAAGAATGGAATCTAATTTGTCAATGAATGTAGATTTTCTAAAGCAATGTCTTCACATTTATTCTACCTTATTGTTCTCTCTCCAGAACATGTATCGATTCGAGGGCACTGGATTTTCAAACATTCCTCAACTTATAGATCATCACTATACAACGAAACAGGTCATCACTAAGAAATCGGGTGTAGTTCTGCTGAATCCTATTCCTAAGGTAGTTGCTTATATACTTTTTTGTCTGTTTGTTTTAAAAGAATTTTTGGTGCGTTAACATTTCCAACAGTAAATAAAGTTCTTAGATTATATGCTAGTCGTTCAGAAAAAAAGAAAGTTTTGTTTTTGTTTTTCTGGCTTTTATTAGTAATACAATTGAAACATGAAATTTCCTTGATTTTATTAAGATGAGCTGCTTTTTATTCAGTATTTGCTAGTATACAAATGGCTTGGATTTTTTTTCCCCTTTCTTTCCTAGTTTTTCTTCAGACTTGAGGCTTTTCTTCACTTTATAAGGTTCATACTTTGAAAGGTTCAGGTTATAAAAGATTCAAAGTTGTATAAGTCAAAGACAATGTCCAGCAATTAGGAATAAATTAGGGTTTTAATTTGGGATGTTACATTTACAATGTATTATAAGATATTAGAACTATTAAAAACTAGTCTACTCTTCATGGAAGCAGTAAATCAGAACTTACCTATGTGGAGCCAGGTGGTTGGATAAGAGATTGTCTTAGGTCATTTTTACCTCTATGATCTATCGCAGAAAACACTACTTACATGTGCTTTTCAAGATTTGTTCAATAAAGAATGGGTATGTGGAAGTTTTGTGTTTTTAAGGTAATATATTTGGGACTTAAACCAAAGTGGAACAATGGAGCTGACTTAGTTTCTGAGCACCTTTGATGTTTCAGGAGTGGGGTTCGTATTGGCAAGAGCGCTTTCCTTTCAGGACTGTCTAATATGAAGAACAGCGTAGAAATAGGAAAGCCACACAATTTGGTAGATTAATATTTGTTGATATGACTGTTATACATTTAGGGATTGCTTTTAATTTGAAGTAAGTGTCAGTTCCAAGAGTGCTGGTACATAGTCCGGATTTAGCAATTTGGAAATTTAAAAAACAATTATTTTATTTCCTTTTGTTAATCTGGGAAATAATATCTATATTTGTACATTTTTTGTACTACTGAGTCTTCACTGAGAGGATGACCTTTAATATTTCTCTAACGGAAGATTTTGACAGTTGTTTGTTAAACATTCTAATTCTCTGGTTAAGGAGCTGGCTTTCTTGAACAATTTTCTATAATTATGAAATTGCATAATTCTTTGTTAATTTTTAAAATTCATTTTCTACCCTTAATTACCAAAACCATAAAAAATTCTTCTTCAGTCTGAAATAGATTGTCACATTTTTTCTATAGCAAATATATATATATATGTATATATAAATCTTTCAATATTTCCTCCTTCATCTTTATTTTTTCTTTTTTTTTAAATTATACTTTATGTTCTAGGGTACATGTGCACAACGTGCAGATTTGTTACATATGTATACATGTGTCATGTTGGTGTGCTGCACCCATTAACTCTTCATTTACATTAGGTATATCTCCTAATGCTATCCCTCCCTCCTCCCACCCCACAACAGGCCCTGTTGTGTGATGTTCCCCTTCCTGTGTCCAAGTGTTCTCATTGTTCAGTTCCCATCTATGAATGAGAACATGTGGTGTTTGGTTTTCTGTTCTTGTGATAGTTTGCTGAGAACAATGGTTTCCAGCTGCATCCATGTCCCTACAAAGGACACAAACTCATCCTTTTTTATGGCTGCATAATATTCCATGGTGTTATGTGCCACATTTTCTTAATCCATTCTATCATTGATGGACATTTGGGTTGATTCCAAGTCTTTGCTATTGTGAATAGTGCCGCGATAAACATACATGTGCATGTGTCTTTATAGCAGCATGATTTAAATCCTTTGGGTATGTACCCAGTATTGGGATGGCTGGGTCAAATGGTATTTCTAGTTCTAGATCCTTGAGGAATCGCCACACTGTCTTCCACAATGGTTGGACTAGTTTACAGTCCCACCAACAGTGTAGAAGTGTTCCTATTTCTCCACATCCTCTCCAGCACCTGTTGTTTCCTGACTTTTTAATGATTGCCATTCTAACTGGTGAGATGATATGTCATTGTGGTTTTGATTTGCATTTCTCTGATGGTCAGTGATGCTGAGCAGTTTTTCATGTGTCTGTTGGCTGCATAAATGTCTTCTTTTGAGAAGTGTCTGTTCATATCGTTTGCCCACTTTTTGATGGGGTTGTTTTTTTCTTGTAAATTTGTTTGAGTTCTTTGTAGGTTCTGGATATTAGCCCTTTGTCAGATGAGTAGATTGCAGAAATTTTCTCCCATTCTGTAGGTTGTCTGTTCACTCTGCTGGTAGTTTCTTTTACTGTGCAGAAGCTCTTTAGTTTAATTAGATCCCATTTGTCAATTTTGGCTTTTGTTGCCGTTGCTTTTGGTGTTTTAGACATGAAGTCCTTGCCCATGCCTATGTCCTGAATGGTATTGCCTAGGTTTTCTTCTAGGGTTTTTATGGTTTTAGGTCTAACATTTAAGTCTCTAATCCATCTTGAATTAATTTTTGTATAAGGAGTAAGGAAGTGATCCAGTTTCAGCTTTCTACTTATGGCTCACCAGTTTTCCCAGCACCATTTATTAAATAGGGAATCCTTTCCCCATTTCTTGTTTTTAAAAGAGGGAATTCTCCATAACTCATTTTATGAGGCCAACATCATCCTGATACCAAAGCCTGGCAGAGACACAACAAAAAAAGAGAATTTTAGACAATATCCCTGATGAATATCGATGCAAAAATTCTCAATAAAATACTGGCAAACCGAATCCAGCAGCACATCAAAAAGCTTATCCACCATGATCAAGTGGGCTTCATCCCTGGGATGCAAGGCTGGTTCAACATATGCCAATGAATAAACATAATCCAGCATATAAACAGAACCAAAGACAAAAACCACATGATTATCTCAATAGATGCAGAAAAGGCCTTTGACAAAATTCAACAGCCCTTCATGCTAAAAACTCTCAATAAATTCAGTATTGTTGGAATGTATCTCAAAATAATAAGAACTCTTTGTGACAAACCCACAGCCAATATCATACTGAATGGGCAAAAACTGCAAGCATTCCCTTTAAAAACTGGCACAAGAGAAGGATGCCCTCTCTCACCACTCCTATTCAGCATAGCGTTGGAAGTTCTGGCCAGGGCAGTCAGGCACGAGAAAGAAATAAAGGGTATTCAGTTAGGAAAAGAAGAAGTCAAATTGTCCCTGTTTGCAGATGACATGATTGTATATTTAGAAAACCCCATTGTTTCAGCCCAAATCTCCTTAAGCTGATAAGCAACTTCAGCAAAGTATCAGGATATAAAATCAATGTGCAAAAATCACAAGCATTCTTATACACCAATAATAGACAAACAGAGATCCAAATCATGAGTGAACTCCCATTCACAATTGCTTCAAAGAGAATAAAATACCTAGAAATCCAACTTACAAGGGATGCGAAGGACCTCTTCAAGGAGAACTACAAACCATTGCTCAATGAAATAAAAGAGGACACAAATGGAAGAACATTCCATGCTTTCTTTTTAAATAAGTGATGCCACCAAATACCCAGCTTCTCAAGTCATAAATTGAGGGTCTTTGACATCTCTTTCTTCTACATCACTGCCCTCCCTCAAGCACTCTGGGTTACAATTAAGTATTTATCTCTTAAAAATACAAAAATTAGCTGGGGGTAGTGGCACATGCCTATGGTCCTAGCTACTTGGGTGGCTGAGATGGGAGGATTGCTTGAGCCTGGGAGGTTGAGGCTGTAGTGAGCTGTGATTGTACCACTGCACTCCAGCCTAGGCAGCAGAGAGAGACCCTGTCTCTAAATAAATGAAGTGTTTTGTGTGCTTAATTATTCATGTGGAAGTATGAACACCAATTCTAGTATATATCAGTATGAATAAAATACAGTACAGGAAGATATTTTTTATCCAGATTAGGTTAACAAAATATACAAATAGGATTTCAGCGATACTGATGTCCCATTTCACAAGTCAACCAAATGTTTGTATTGTCTAATTTAGACCTTGCTTCGCCAGGTCTAAATTGGGAAACCAAATCTATAAAAGAAAGAAATAACAACGCAGATATGAGTTTGATTAGGAATACAAAATTTCAAATAAAGCTATACCCCTTATAATATAAAATTTGCTATAAAACTTTGATAATAGATTAGATTCTCTGGACTATTACATGGTTAATTAATGTTTTTCCAACCCCCAATGCTTTGGAATTGATTATCTCACCATCTGATAGAACTAGCTATGAAAATAGATATATACTGGATGCTGTAGAAATTTAAAGGGTTATATATGATTTTTTATATGAGGTGGAAATTTAAAGTTTATCTGGCTATTAACCTAAAGTACTTGTATTTGAAATCTAAAAATCATTATCTCAGTTTGTTGCAAATGTTATACACTTGATTTAAAGGATCGTGTTACTCTTTTAAAAGAAAATCACAAAACAGAAGCTTTGAGTTAGATAATTTTTCAATTATGAGTAGATAACAAATTGATATGGATTTGTTATGGTGGTAGTATCTATTACATATCTTCCTTTGAATTATTTGTACTCTTATAACTGAATTATTTCTTGATTTAATTTGTGTGAAAAGTGAATGTCTTTGATTATATAATGTGCTATAAAATATTTAATTTCTGTCTTGCTAGACTTCATTTTTAGCCTACATAAAGAATTCCACTTTAGTTTCATTGTCATTTCTATTTCCCATTTATTTCTCTTCCCATTTATCTCTGCTCCTACCCATAAAAATATAAGTTTATCATCATAATGCCTAACTTGAGGACAGAATGGCTAAAGTAATCTCTTTCTTTATATTTTATGCACATTCACTCAGAGGTACAGAAAACTAGACAGGATTAAATTGTTTAACTTTCTCACTTTATTATAAACTAGTGGGTGCTTGAGTCACTCATTCCTCTCCCTGATTTTTCCTACACTACCTCCAGAGCTTGTGTAAACATACGGAAGATGGAAGAAATTGTTGTAAAGAGGGGTTATTAATCACCCATTATCATCGTTCTTACATTAGCAGACACGTTATACATGCATATGACCTGTT